GTCGGTAGTTATTCATTTTTCTTCCTATATGACAAAAGGTGAGGAATGAAACCCCCCTCAATACTAGCAAGAGCGATAACAGCTATTGGCCATGATAAACCTATTTTTCTGAAAGAAATTATTTAAAATGAACGATTTTATAAGTTTCAACCGAGAGTAGAACACGCTCTTCGATCAGTGAATGCTAAATGATGCCTTATCAGTAAACGGTTAGTATTCCCATAACTATTGCATGATATGGTCATTCGCCATTGGCATCTGAGAAAAAAGATTTTGGTATTTGATTTTAGTTCTTCAAAAACAAATACAGATATTATAATAAAAAGCAAAAAACATTAAAGGCTATGGCAGACACCTGTGAACAGATAATTCAGAATTTAAATGGAAACTATTAATAGTTACACGTTTTAACTTTGCCGAATCTGATATAAACAAATAATCGTCTTTAAAAATGATATTGTGGTTGCTAATACTAGGGTTGTTCAAAAAGTTCTAAGCCTCACCCAGAAAGAAGAGACATAGCTGAACATTTTGATGATAGCAACATTCTACCACATTTTATAAAACTAGAAAGACTAATTCAGATATCTGTCTTAGTCTCCTGTGCATTTGAAGCCCATACAAAATGTGAAATGTGCACGACAAATCAAAAAATGGACAATTACAGAGTCTCGATCAGTCAGAAAATACTTGTAAAAGAATAACACCCAAGGGAAGCCATGAGGACATGGTACAGACACTTGCTGAGGTATCCGCTTCATATGCAACTGTGATGAAGTCGGCTGCGAAAGTAAAACGGGACAGGAATGGCACGGAAGATAACACTCGGTCAGTTCATCAAAAATACGCAAACACAATGAAATTTGATGCCATTCACCGTATGATTTTGAATAACAGACGCCTTAATGTCCAAAGGCAGTAGTTCTGGTTCACTCTATATTGCCGCCCTGATTAAGACGATAAACTATGTCCAACAGCAAGGCTTCTGCTCAGGTGGTTTTGAGGAGCATCTCTTAATTGCTGGTGTTCCAAGGTCCACCCTGACCCGGGATGTTAGCACCTGTTAGGCTCCCAGCTATGGGCAAATAGTTAACTCCGGAACTGAGGAAAAAAGCTTATGTGTAAAAATATGTTTTAATAATTTAAATACTTTTTAAAAATTTATTAACAGAAATTTTTCTTAATTTAAGAGTTGGTAATTGGTTCAATATACTCTTTCCACTTCCATGTCAGCTGTAAACGTTAGTTTCTGATGGCGAAATGACTCACTGTCCTGGAGGTTAGCATTACAGAAGCTAAACAGTGTTCTCTCAGATGATGAAAAAGGAAGAAGATACTTTTATATCTGCAAATTAATGAACCTATGTCGTATTTATTTCGTATTTATCTACAAATTAAACAAATAAAGAAATAGTAAATTAATACGATAAAAAATCACCTTGTCCACAATATCGCTATTAATATGGCATATGTTCGGAAGAGTTACATACTATTCTTCCAGTAGATCTTTACAGCTAGGGAGACACCATTTCATTTTCTCTATGGCAACTAACGTCATTCCCATTGTGTTCTTTTGATAAAAAGTTAGTTCATCTCTTCTTCCTCAAATTATGACTTCGTGGAACAAACTCCCGAGAGAAGATCAACTACACAACACAAAAGAGAAACACTTCGATGTGGTGCAATGGTTAACAAGACTATCCCGCGAGATCAGTTACGAGAGAGTAATGATTTCGATAGTCACTGGGATCTCGATATTGTCGACCTTATGTCACATGTAAGCTAAGCTTAGAAAATGCTTTCTAGGCACCACGACGAAGTGTAATGGTCAATAGGTTTTTGTCGATAGATCAAAACTGAACAGTGTTTGATCCTCACTGAGTACCCCATGCATTCTGCCTTGTGCCATATCTAAGCTAAGCTTAGAAAATCATTTCTAGGCCCGTCGACGTGGTGTATTGGTCACGAAGCTTGTTTCGTTAGATTAATTAAAAGTGAGTAGAGAGTTTGATCATCACAGTGTGCCCCATACCCTTGGCCTTATGCCACATCTAAGTTACGCTTAGACAATCATCACACAACACAAAAGAGAATACAGAAGAAAGAGAAAAGGAAAGAGATGTGTCATATACATACTTATATGTATATGAAAGTATCATGAGTGCGTAGCGGCGTGTACGACTTTTGTTTCCGATCAGGAGACGCGAGTTCGAATCTCACCATGTTCTTTTTGTCAGTACGTTGATTATTTTTTACAGGGGTATTAACTCCGGACATATCCCTGGGCGACTCGAGGTTGAGAATTACAGATTAAGAGGCGCACCTTATGCGGATATGTGTGGAAGATAATTGTTAAACCTAGGCTTGCACAGGTTAAGATTGTAGTGTTCGGGTTGCAATGTATTGGGAGATGTCGCCTCAACGCAGTGGTTCGTGAGAAAAATATCCTTGATTTGAACTTACACGTCACCAGAGGAATATGGAGGGGTGCTTCGCTACAATGTGGGTGACATGACGGGTTTTAGCCGTAAGGTTTAGGACTGGTGGAAATAAAATCTGAACAATCACCATGAAAATAGCGAAGAGCAGTGAGACGATTGCGCCTATCGTCTGGGAGAAACGGGTTGCGGAGTACAAAATAATTCGTCGACTACAAGGACGGAAAGACGCTTTTGGACTCTATCGAGAGTGGAAAGTGAATAATGGACAGCTCCTGTCCATATATAAGTGGATATCACTCTTGTAAAGTTACAGGATATCGGGAGGAGTGAGGTACATCCAGAGGCGGTACAAAGAAAAGACGATTTTCCCAGCATCTTTAGCAATGGATCGTAGGTAAGAGTTCTACTTGGGGTCTTGGATGAGTTTATGTCCTCATAGGCGTTCAAGATTCCCTGACGGAACATTCGTTCGTCAAGATTAGTGAACGTTCTGGGTGTGATTGGCGATATTAGAAGGGAATTAATCTGGTTTGTGGGGCATATAGACAGTTTTTCCCCGTTAAGCTGCTAAAGATAGGTCAGAGAAGAGACCAGTTGCCAATCGATGAATTTGGCAGGGCACCCATTGTATCGCTCTAGAAAGGCAATCCCATGCAAGAGGTTAGTCCAAGCCTTGTGACTAAAAGTAGGTAGACGGTATTATTCATAAGGTGCCGTTCCTTGTACCGACACACGTCATGTTGACAGAGGGTTTGAGCGTACAGAGGTGGTTCAAACGAGAGATTATAAGACATGATATGCTCTCTCCCAGAACTGTAACAACTGCTCGCTAGCAGGAAGGAAGGTTGGTAGGTTTTGGACAAACAAAAATGTGTCTGAGTAGGCGTCTGAAAATTGGAATGGTCAGCCTCCCTAAAAGACAGATGTGTTCGGAGAACGATTAATCAACCCTTATTAATCATTCTGACAGGTGAAAAGATATTATAAAACGAAGAAAAATGAAAAGCTTCCATGTGCGTGTGTATTTGTGCATGAGCGCGCATTCGCAGCCGGCGAGTTTGCACGTATATCAATTATGGCCAAATAGGATATAAGGGAAAAATAAAGAGTGAAAATAAGAAAAAAGACACTATAAGACAAACAAACACACACACACACACACACACACACACACGCATGCACGCACAGACGGGCGAGCAGACACACACATCTACACACACATGCACACATACACAAGCACACATACAAGCACACATCTACACACACACACATGCACACACACACATGCACACACATACACATGCACACGCGTGCGCACAGACACACACACATCTATGTAAAATTTAAAAAATATCAGGTCAAATGAACAATAAAATAACAGGTTGATCTCTCTCCATTGTTTTTTAACACATGCATTACTTATCACCTCTCTGTTACGTCTCTGTCCTGAGGAAAATTATACTGAGAGTTGCCCAGACCGATGTTGCTCCCTTTCATTGCACTAGGGAGATGGCTCGGTCAACGCACCCAGACTAGAACAACCGACGGTTGCGGGGGCTCGGGAATTTTTTTCCTATCCCGGGTGTAAGCGCTCGGGCTCCCCACATTAAACCGACCTTGTGTCACAACCTGACTCCGTAGGGGTTTGAGTAAATACAAATATACTGGGTAGTAAAAAGAAATCATGAGAAAATGTTTCCTTCAGTGTAAATAATGAAGATATGTTTACCTCCCTTTTTACTATAATTGCTACTAATATTATTATTATTAATAATAATAATGATGTTAATATATCTTAAAATGGAAAGAGCAAAAATGAACATGAAGGCAAGATAGTCAAATAATAAATTACTAAATGAAAGTTTTCAAGAATTAACCAAAAAATGTACAAAAGAATGAAGCTCCAAATGTAAATATAGAAAGAAAAAGGAGATAGAATCGAAATCGGTTGAATTTGAATTCATTAGAAGCAGGAAATGGGAATAAGGGGAAAAAATTGTAAATGATTTAAATACAATAAATACATATTGAATGAGATTAAATTTAGAAAAAAATCACGAAAAAAAGCGACAAAAGTCGAAAATATGAGACTAAAAACAAAGATAAAAAGCCTGATGTAAGAGAAGACGAAAAAGAAGAAGATACTTAAATAATAATAGGAAAAAGAAAAAAATGAAATCTCGATGAAAAATACTGATTAAATAAAATCGAAACTGTTAATAAAAGTGAAAAAAGAAATAAGCATTTGATTGGAATTTTAAGGAAACAGCTTTTTCAATTACCAACTTTTAGAATAATATTTAAAATGAAATAAACGATATTTGACTGGAAAATAGAGAGAAAAACTGGTTCAATAAAACAGTGTGAATTTACTCCTAAAGAGATGAGGGTAAAGAGTCTGATATTAAAAAATAATGTCTTCAGGCAAAATTTGCAGCTGCAAAAATATAATAGTCGTATGATAATAAATTAAAATTTGAAATCTTTTAAAGTAATAAGAAAATGATAGATAGATACATAGACAGATAGATGTGAACAGATTTATATAGATCAAGATATCTACATCGATAGATAGATAGATAGATAGATAGATAGATAGATAGATAGATTGAACAGATTTATTATCTAGATTGACCTATATATTGATCGATATCTAATGAAGATAGATAGATATTGATAGATAGATAGATGGATAGATAGATTAGACAGAAATACATAGATAGTTATCTAGATTGATTTGAACAGATTTATATTGATATAATACCTTAGATAGATCAATGAAGATAGATAATGATAGAGATCATAGATAGATAGATTGATAGATTTATATAGATGGATATAGATAGATTAATGACAGTCTTAGATAGATAGATAGATAGATAGATAGATAGATAGATTTGAACAGATTTATATAGATACCTATATTTGAAGATTTATATCTAAATGAAGATAGATAGATAGATAGATAAATAGATAGATAGATAGATTTGAACAGATTTATATAGATACCTATATAGATCGATATCTAATGAAGATAGATAGATAGATAGATAGATAGATAGATAGATAGATAGATAGATAGATAGATTGTGAAGAGAGATACATAGCTAGTTATCTAGATTGATTTGAACAGATTTATATTGATAAATACTTAGATAGATCAATAGATAATGAAGAGATCAAGATAGATAGATAGATAGATAGATGTGAACAGTCTTAGATAGATAGATAGATAGATAGATAGATTTGAACAGATTTATATAGATACCTATATAGATCGATATGTAATGAAAGATAGATAGATAGATAGATAGATAGATAGATATGAACAGATTTATATAGATACCTATATAGATACCTCTAATAAGATAGATAGATAATGAAGATAGATAGATAGATAGATAGATAGATAGATAGATTGATGAAGATAGATAGATCTAGATTGATTTGAACAGTCTTAGATAAAATAGATAGATAATGAAGAAGAGATCTAAATAGATAGATTGATATTAGATAATGGATAGATAGATTAGACAGTCTTAGATTAGATAGATATAGATAGATTTGAACAGATTTATATAGATCGATATAGATCGATAATGAAGATAGATGAGATAAATAGATGATAGATAGATTTGATAGATTTATATAGATAGATATAGATCGATATAATGAAGATAGATAGATAGATAGATAGATAGATAGATAGATAGATTGAGAAATACATAGCTAGTTATCTAGATTGATTTGAACAGATTTATATTGATAAATACTTAGATAGATCAATAGATAATGAAGATAGATCAAGATAGATAGAACAGTTGATAGATAGATAGAGATGGATAGATAGATTTGAGACAGTCTTATATAGATACCTATATAGATCGATATGAATAAAATAGATAGATAGATAGATAGATAGATAGATAGATTTGAACAGATTTATATAGATACCTATATAGATCGATATCTAATGAAGATAGATAGATAGATAGATAAATAGATAGATAGATAGATTTGAACTTAGATTTATATAATGAAGATACCTAAATAGATCGATATCTAATGATAGATAGATTTATATAGATAGATACTTAGATCGATAGATAATGAAGTGAGATAGATAGATAGATAGTTATTGTAAGATTGATTTCTGATTGAACACAGATTTATATTGATAAATACTTAGATAGATCAATAGATAATGAAGAGATCAAGATAGATAGATAGATAGATAGATAGATAGATAGATAGATTTGAACAGTCTTAGATAGATAGATAGATAGATAGATAGATAGATAGATTTGAACAGATTTATATAGATACCTATATAGATCGATATGTAATGAAAGATAGATAGATAGATAGATAGATAGATGATTGTGATTTATATAGATACCTATATAGATTGATTTGATATCTTTATAAGATAGATAGATAGATAGATAGATAGATAGATAGATAGATGTGAACAGTCTTAGATAAATAGACAGATAATGAAGAGATCTAAATAGCTAGCTAGGTTATCTAACAAGATAGATACTTAGATCGATAGATAATGAAGTGAGATAGATAGATAGATAGATAGATAGATAGATAGATAGATAGATGGATAGAAGATAGATAGATAGATAGATAGATAGATAGATAGATAGAAACAGTAGATAAATAAAAAAAAGAGATCTGATTAGATAGATAGATATAGATAATGATGAGATAGATAGATAGATAGATAGATAGATAGATAGATAGATAGAGAATAGATATAAAAAAAACTGATTAGATAGATAGATAGATAGATAGATAGATAGATAGATATGTAATAGCTTAGTGTTACTTAGTAAGAGCACAAGTGAGGTTACAACCCGTTTAACAGAAGAAAAAGAAGATAACTCCCACGGACTTCTTTATGCCCTGTCTATTAACGACATAAGCGATATTGTCTCTCTGTAACCTCCTACACTGTTTAGCTCTTAGCAATTATCTCCCTTTACCATACCTCTTACTCTTCCATCTATTGTTCCTTTTGCTATCGAGAGATCCTGTCAGTTTCCTTAGAGATTTTCAGCTTTCTCTTTCTGATTCTGAGTATATGCATCTATTTTTCTTTCCATTCTTCTTCAGATATCTTCGTTGTTTTCACGTTCCGCCCGTGATATTCTCAGCGTTCATCCGTAAAAACTGCATTTCTGCAGCCTTCAGTCTGTGAGGAGATTGTCCAGCATTCGCTGTCATATAGTAGGAATTATATTACATAATAATTGTTTCTAACAAAAATGTCATGTTTCTTGGCATTTTTTAAGTATTTTTTTTCCCATTCTAACGCGCCTTTGGATTTTGGTGGAAAACTGAATGAGAACAATCCGGATATGAAATAGAGACTTCAGGTTGAAAGTTATCGGTGTCAACATAAAACCTGAAGTAGGCTTGAGGGAAAAACAGCTGAAACATTGTGATAACAAAACCAAAGGCAAGGAGAGTAGCTTGAATGTAAAAAATGATATCGTTTCATCCCAGTAATTCAGAGAGAAACGTTTTTTAGATTTTTAGTCATTACATCACACGTATACAGGGTACCCAATAATGATGGGGAACATTTTAAATACAAATAAACTGGATAATAAAAATGACATAGAGTACCATATATATTTATTACATAACCGATATAAAAAAGTTCGACATATTCAAAATTTTGCTATTTCCTATTGGTAGCTGATATCTATTTGGGTGACGGTGGACTCTCATAATACCATGGACTCCAAAGGGAAAGGCATATGCAGTGGAAGCATGCTTCACCAGCCAAAGATCCATCATTGCAGCCCCAAGGAGACTCTGACAGGATTATGGAAAGTGACAGGCACCATCCCGAAAGGTGATCCTGCTCGTTGTTACAAACTTCCGTGAGATAGGCAACCCCAACTGTGTTCGAAATGAGAGAGCCTGCTCGTGTATGTTTTCTTCGTGGTGGTGACCATCTCAGGGATGTAATATACAAACTCAAGTTTCAGGGTTGGAGAACGAAGACACACGTGATGGAGGATTTGAATGCACTAGCCTCGTTGAAATGCATTGATTACGCCAGATGATGCGTTCTCATCCAGAAACTAACTAAAGTATTTTCAGTGTAATTGCAGTATACGGGCACTTTGGCATTTTAAACCAACAGGCGTCTATAGTTTTCCCCGTTTCTCTGTTTATTTCTCGCACCGCTGATGAAGGACTCAGGCGTGCCCGAAAATTCCGGACTAATAACATTAATCTCCATGAAGTCTGTCTTGTGATCAACAATTAATATATAATAAATTCTTTTCGCACTGATCGCATTGGTACCTTTTCGTTTTCCCTTGTTTTATTAACCAACATATCTGTTTTAAATACTATGAGAAGCATGCGTAGAGGTTGTACAAAACAGCCATCTACCATCCAATACGTCTAAAGCTCAAGCTAGGAACCTCCACTGACATCCCTTCACCTGTTCTCGTTTCTATCTCCTCAACGCCATATGATTGCAAGAACTCAAAACATGTCGGTGGTGATTACTGAACAATCTGCACCTGAATTGTTTATAATGGCCATTGCTTTTGCAGTACAATGCACACTCTTTTCATCAAAACAGCATAGCCAGTACTGGTGCATTGTTTGCCTCGTGTCAGGTGGGGAGATGTCCTGAAACGAATAAGGGGTCTTTCTTTCAAAGTGGTTTAATCGCGTGAGGTCCAAGTATTTATATGTCTACAAACACACACACACACACACACACACACACACACACACACATATATATATATATATATATATATATATATATATATATATATATATATATATATATATATATATATACAGTAGCGTCCAAAACTAAGGGACAACATTTTTAACCTAATATTTGTTAGAAATAACAACTGTGAAAAGCTGAAATTTTGACAACTGATAGTCGTTATCATCCATAATAACATACTAAAATTTGAATCATTTGCAAAGGATAGAAAAAGAATTATAACAATTATTTATTTTCAAATTTGGAACGTCCAAAAGTAAGGGATAAAATTTTTAGGTGACATTTTCTCGACTCTTCTGCTTTGGGAGTAAACCAGAGCCGTCCTAAATAGGGCAACTTTGCTATGAAAAGAACAGAATTACTCGAAGAGTATGTTCAAAAATGCCATCTACCAACCAACACGTCTAAAACTCAATCTAGGAACCTCCACTGACATCCCTTCACCTGTTCTCGTCTCTATCTCCTCAAGGCCATATGATTGCAAGAACACAATACACGCTGGTGGTGATTACTGAACAATCTGCACCTGAATTGTTTATAATGGTCATGGCCTTTGCAGTACAATGCACACTTTTTTCATCAAAACAGCATAGCCAGTACTGGTGCATTGTTTGCCACGTGTCAGGTGCTGAAGGACCCGCAGATTTTACATCAGAATTTTTTTCTCCTGGGAAAACGAATAAGGGGTCTTTCTTTCAAAGTAGTGTAATACATATATATATATATATATATATATATATATATATATATATATATATATATGGAGAGAGAGAGAGAGAAATATATTGATTGATAGATTTGTTTTTTTACGGTTTAGAGAAATTGCTGGATTGATTTTTTACGGATTATCATAATTTCTGTGTTAAAGCCGAAAGATATTTTGGATTTCCGATCAAATATGGATCGGTATTCGACAGGATGATACGATAATGAACAAAGAGGAAATGCTTATCAATGTAACACGTTTCACTTCTATTAAAGCTTCGTTTGAGATTCATATCTCATTCTCTGATGAATCCTTATTAAAAGCAAATCATGTTAGATTGATGTACGTCTCCTGTTTGTTCTTTATTTTAATATATAATATATATAATTCCATTTGTTTCAGTGAATATTGCTTTATAGAATAACGATCATTTGTCTATTATAAGTCCTACTATTTAATCCGTATCAATGGGGAAAAGATGGATTCACACATTTCCCAAGGGTGTTTGAGCATAATTGAGTGTAACGAACTTAACTGGCATTCGAACTCGGCTCTCCAATTTCTATCCATTAAACCACAGAACATCCACGTAAGAGGGAGAGAGAGAGGGAGAGAGAGAGAGAGGGAGAGAGAGAGAGAGGGGGGTGGGAGATAAAAGCTTGATGTTAAAGTTAAGTATTTAGTGATGAATCTACCCGAATGGTGAGAAAGGGTGGAATCAGTTACATAAGTACTTATATTGATTACAATGTTATGAACTCCCATATATTTTCCGCCCAAGGTTTCCATAGAGGTATATTTTGCGGATATAAATTTGAAGGCTTTCTGTTCCCCGCGTCACTGCCTCCTGTAAATTTTCCCCAAATGGAAACACACCTCAAATCTAGACACATAGATCCGGAGTAGTCGTGTCAGCAATTATTAAGGTCTTACTAAGTAACCCATATCTTGGATTAAAGAGGTGAATTCATACCTTCTCCATGTGTATTTGTGCGTAAGTGACGATAACGAACCCAACAAGATCTGAGCTCTTGGATTAACAATTCCGAGCCATTATCCATTACACCCCCTGCGCATCCAAATTTCCCGCACCAAGCACGCTCAAGCGGTCACACATATAGGTACGAACTAGGATCGATATTGCTTACCTTCGCTGATCATACGGGGACGAATGATTGAACGTTATGTCATCGTAAGCGTCAATTATTAGGATTAACTTGTGCCAACCAAAAACACATTAAGTTGATCACCAGTGAGAATTGAATTCGCTATACTAATATGTCCGACTGTCAAACATGTTCAAGTAATAATAATTCTATATTTTTCTCTGTCCTACCTGGAACATGCCGGGTAGTACAATCATCTCTCAAGTGGCATCTGTGTCTTCGATCACAATGTAACACACTTGTACCTCTGTCTGCGGGCAGAGACACAGCTGGGCTGCCCGGTCCCGCAGAACAGTTACCGGTGTCAGTACACCCCTCATAGCAGTAGAGAGTGGGTATATGGAATCCTCTATACTTGCCTGTCGTCCCCTACGGGAAGATGAACTCTTCCCCAAATTAGCCTTTAACCAATCATCACTTCACTTTTCCAAACTCAACTTCCCATTGGTTAAAATGACAGAAAAATGTAGAAGTTGAGACAAATACTTTTTTCCCGCGCACCTGTCTGGAGCATATTTGAAAACCCAAAAGTGTATAAAAAAAAGTATCGCTCGACTTAATTCAAGTCAGTCAGACACTGAGTTTCGAGTGATGCCAGCAGACTCCACGCGTGCCAACACACTGACTCAATAATACTACCAGCTTCTCATCAACTCAACACAACTCGCACTACTATTGCCGCGTGAAGAAACTTAACTTACAATTTACTAAAAAAAGTGGCATTATCACTACGAAATAGTAATTGTACATTTAATCAACTTTAGCATATCAGTCAAAGGAACACAACTCTTCATAACTTGAATCAACACTTACAATTGCCACACCCATACACATTATTATTTGAATTCACACAAGTGAAATTTTACCTTGCAGAAATAAACTGTTTTAATTTCACTGACAAATTTAATCATTTACAAGTTCTCTGCATGCAAACTCTTTGCAATCTTATCTCACTTGCTACATTTAACAAGCAACCTATCATCACTTTGCGTATGTCAAATATATATATATATATATATATATATATATATATATATATATATATATATTCATGTTATTGTGGAAATCTATAACTACGTTTTGTTTTTTTGTTTTTGATTTCTTCAAGTTGTTTTGTCTTCATATGTTCGTTTAATTTATTTGTTTTGGATAAATGCATCATGTACACGCACATTTTAGGCCTTCGCTCAATTTCACCTTCTGACACATCTTTCTTAGCATAAAATCTGCAACAGGTATCCGTAATCATACCAATGTCAGCGCAACCGAAGATTTTGGAGGCTGGTTAATTTTGGGCCCAGGTGTACGCGAACGGCTTCCCCACATGAAACATCAGGTCTCAGTGGGGAGACGGTGTAAATAATACTTCCTTCTGTCTTTTCTACAAATATTTTCATTGCAGCTGTTTTTGTGAGCTTTTTATTCTTAGTGCTTCAATTTTATTAATTTAAGCTTACTACTCGATTGACAACTAGGCCTCACAGTTTTACTATTGAATTAGCGAGTTACAACATTTTGTTTTCTTGCACTAGTCACCTATTAAATTCGCTTTATTGCTTACCTATCACCTATAATCTTCAAAAAATTTAAATACATCATCTATCGACATCTTTTGTCTTCCTGAAAACTGTTCCTTTTTTGTCCGTTTATCACTTCTCACTAAAGTCTTTTCATTCTATTTCGCTCATTGCCACCCGCCTGCATCCTAGTAGGATTATCACCTTGATTGGAGTGAACGATTTAAAAAAATATATAATAACTATCTGGAAATGTTAATATTATGGAAAAGATCATACATCCTTCAGAAGGACTCTGATCCCAGATGAAATATTAATGACCAGAAATTTAGACTTGCATATTAAATGATTTCAAAATGATTTGAGGATTCAATTTCAGTTTTATTTTATTTTATTACTATTCTATTGTCCTCCAATTGACTCAGATTTATTTTTACTTGACTAAATTTTTTGTGGTTTTAAGTGTATATTAACTTCAACTTTCGTATATCGTAAATCTTCAAATAATCCACTGCAAAGGCTGGTATATATGATTTTTTTTTTCTTTGTCCTTGCCGGAAGCAAAACGCCAATCTTTACGAACAGGGACCAAATTTCACCAGCTTGACCTTTTCACGTTCAACTACTAAGTTTCCGTTGTGTGTCATATACAAGGGTCAGCTGGGAGGTTGATAATCTGACCAAGATATCCATGCAAATAGGCAAAGTAGAATTGGTAGCAATTTCATGACTTTAATCTATTTACATTTATATCTTAGTCAGCATAGGAACGTTCCAGCCAACTCTAGTATGTACGTATATCTGTTGGAGTAATGAATTAAATTGGTTATAGTCTACAAGATGGTTGTTTTATCTCCACCAGGTGGGACGTTTTAGTTGTAATTTATTAGTACTTTGAGGGATCTTACATTTGCTGCTTTTTATTTCAGTATTTGGAGCTGATGCATTTTAATTGTAACTAATATTGCTTGTACAGTTAAAAAGAAAAGCAGTGTAATAATTGGGTAAGTAATATTTATAATGTAAGATTTGTTGGTCCGGCAAAACAGATAATCCGGTATTTATTATAATACTGTTGGAGTTTTTGGGTAAACTGATGTACTAGAGAGTGCCAAAATGAGCTGACTCATTTTATAATTCACGAATAGAAGGGTTAGCCAATCAGAAGGCTCAAAATATTCAATGCGGCGTGTTTTTTTTCCCGAATATTCACACCCAGCCTTTGATATCGATGACTGAAAAACAGCTGCTGGTGGTATTGGAGATATAGTCAGATTCAGTAGAGTGTCTGACTCGTGAGTGTTAATCTTTAACGTTGTTTCATTGAAGAGATTAGTACTGCACTGTATTCTATATTCATAGACTATGGTGAACATGGTCAACAAATAATAACAAGTAGATGTGGGGTTATCCCCACTTAGTTTGCTAAGTCACCATAGGTGGCGCTGTATCGGAACTATAAAATCGAGGCACATCCTGTTTCTTGCCGTTTTTACGAGGGTAAGTAAGAAAATTATTTGCACTTTTGCCATAGCGTATCTTTAGGTTTGACACACTGCCTTCTACGCATGCGTGTTTATAGTTGGTATCATAAGTATTCTTGCTGGGGTTACAGTGTAAACATGGCCACAATGTATCAGATTTTTGTCAAATACTATTCCGTTTATTCCGTGAGAAGGTTTTATCTGGATCGACGGCACCTTGGAAGTAAAGAAGTTTTTTTTCATAATACTTTTCTTATCAACTGTTTATAATTCATGTCTGCTCCTAGGAAAATTGGTTCACTGCTTTGTGCCAGATAAACTTTCTCGACAGAATCTATCTTACACATTTATAAATCTACTATTCGTCTATGCCTTTAGTACGGTCTGCTGCTTCTGCTTGATTACATACAAATACTCTACAATGTGATTATTTGGTGGAGATTTACTAACGCTCACGGACACATGAGAAAAATACATGCTGGGAAGCGAGTGTAAACAGTTTGGAAAATTAAGATATATTCAATAATATGAGTGTAAATATTTCCAGAGCCCACAACGCCCAAGAGCGAAAGATACTTATAAAATGATTTTCTAAACCCAACCTAAACTTTTAAAAATGCCCGATAAATCGATATGTCTGTCGGTAATGGGGAAAATTATCGAACATTTAATGTTCCAAAAATAAATGCTGTTGAAAAATATTTTATTGATATTGGGCGTTAACTTGAATCAGTAATATATCAAATCTATGGTAAATATTGCCAATAGCTGATGATAAACTCCAACAGAGTAAATCATTGCGCCGTGTCGGTTTTACGTTTTCCACTCCCATGAATTCGAACCATTATATGGAATTAATTTCTATGTCTGAAGTTTGAATTTCATTTCGTCGTGCTAGAGCATTTGCTTACCGGAATCTATCATTGCAAATTTATAAATCTAGCCTTTCTGCGTCTATTAAATGTTGCTTCTGCATCTAGCCTGAAGCTTCTATTGCGTATGTACCCTACACGTAAGACGCTAGTGGCCTGCTGGCGGGCCGTCGATGGTTACGCCAGAGGTCCTCTGTTGGCAGCCAACGTCAGGCCACCGAGAGGCCAGCGGTGGGTCTCTAGCCGTCCACCAGTTTGAATATTGCTGAGACGAACACGCCGGCGGTCCGACAGCGGTAAACGCTATTGGTATGTCACTTAGTTGCAGATTATTGGCTTGCGTGCAGGACAGAGATTCTTGGCCAAATCCAATAAAAAAAGGATCCTCAATATTAATGGTGCCAGCCTGGCATATCGGCTTCAATCACTTAAGGCGGTTTACGTGTACATTTTCTATAAATTCTTTAATGGTAATTGTTCTAATCAGCTTTCCTCTTTGAGAACTCGATTTCAAGAATTTAAGTGTAATGCATGGATATGCGTTCTGCTGTAATGTGTATCAGTTCGGATTTTGTTTTCTTCATTTACGTGCAAATACCATGGGGAACGGTATGAATCCATCCCGCCTCTTCTCCAGCTATGGGTTAAACAGCAGGATAGTCTGGGTCTTATAGCTTTGGTTGGTAATCAATCTACCAGAGAAAGAGTAAGCAAACTACCTAGGAAAAATCTTCTGCCTATTCAACAATA